AATCTGATTTCGGATGGGATCGTTTTCAAAAATGAGCTTACTCACTTGCCCTTGCTTGAGGCGTAAGAAGGTTGAAAAGTCTGAAGCGATTCTGGAACACTTGATGACCTTCAGAAGTAGCATCTCGACTGGTAAGCTTGAGCCATTATTGTTTTTGACGTTTTTTTTTTCCGGTTTCCTGAAGTCGAGCGTATGGTTTATATTATGCGGCTTAAGTTAAAACACGAGCAATGATCTAACCTACAAAAGGAAACAGGTTTAAAAAGCCTTTAGACATTTTTTGACCCGCAAATTCAAAGAAAAGGTTCCGAAGATTATGTAGTTATGATTTTGGCTGTAAACAGAAAGCTCTGAGCGATTTTTTTGCCTCGAGTTCATCTTGAAAAAGAGCGAACACCGGGAAGCTGGCTTAAAACGTAAATAAGCTTATGCTTGCCTGACTCATGATTTTCTGAGACACTTTCCTCTCAATACTTCTCTTCGTGAATGAAAATTATTGTCTCTGTACATGTTTCACCGAATTAAACTTATTTTATTGATTGTTAGTAGTCCCTCTCGCAATTTTCATCGCTGCACCGGTTGTTTCCAGTCGAACATAAACATCGCATGTAGGAATACTCAAAACGCCGCGCGTAAATATCACTCGCTTTTAAAGATTACACACAACAAAATCATACACAGTTTGATGAATATCTAAAGGGAAATAAAACCTAAACATAACAATTTCTCTATCATGTTGAAGCGTAAATGGTAACTCTATTAATCGCACTGCAAATTTGGTGCCTGTCAAAAGTGAGAACCCGTTCGGCTGGCCGAAAAGTGATTTTGGGAATTTTTTTATCGTTTTCATTAAAAGCCCATAATTATTACCCCGCATATCACATAGGACCAGATTTTTCTAACAGAGAACGTTTTATAATTCAATGCTATAATTTGTTGTGCAAAGGAAGCGCGTGCTTTGATCGTCGTGGATATTGAATGAGTGCAAATTCTCTTGCAAAATTGTGAAAAACTGCAGAATTATAAGTTTAAATAGGGCAAAAAAGAACAAATTCTGTCCGAGGTCTGTGTACTGTTTACCTGAGAAGTGATGAGAAAAAGTATGTTTAAAAGGCTGGTTTACACGCCACCAGATTCGTCGCCAAGATTTACTAGTAAACTAAACTTGTCGAACACAAAAAATCCGGCCTGATTTTTATTTTGGCCATTCTTTTAGACAGAGGAATGCAACGTTTAAATTGGCTGCCACCAAGGACTATCGTGGCGCATGTGTTTCTTAAAATTATATTTCGGGGTTGTCCAATTATCCATAGTCTCTCTAACGGAGCAATGTTGGAGAGACTGGTGAATGCCATATTATGATGATACAGCTAATGCAAATACAATACAGGAATAGGTCTATTTGTTTTCCAGGCCTAATCTACTGTGATCGAACATAATTGCTCTTTTTCGGTGTACAAATAACTTGATGTAAAATTTGTTTCACTCTTGGACGGTCGAATTCTGATTTTTCTCTAAAATCAGTCAGCCTTTGCCTCAAAAGTCAAATGAATGTGCACTGATCTGTGGATTACAAGTTTATTGTTTGATTTAAATTATGAATTTATTAACGGGAGCTTCGCTTTTAGCCCTGGCTAAATCTATATATTAGTGCTAGCGTGTGTGAAACCAAATGCATTTCTGATTTGAGCGAAGTGGACATCGCAAACAGTGAGAGTTTGAGTTCGCGAGATGTGAGAGGAGTGTACCTCATAACCTATAGCCAGACAAACTTAGAGATTGTCCCTACACGAGACGCCTTTGCACCTATTATATTAGACGCATTTGATAACGCAGTTCCTGAGTCGAATGCTGCAGTGATCCATTGGGTATGTAGTCAGGAAAGTCATGCAGATGGGGGTCTACATTATCAGGTGGTGAAACTGAGCGGTCAAAGATGGGGGCCGCATTTGAGGAACTATATTAGTGACAGACATTAGTGACAGCGCCTGGAGGTATACAACCAAGGAAGATAGTTCATCACTACAGTCCATGAATCATCCAGATCTGTGAAATGTTGGGGCACCAATAACGACAAAGGCAAGTTGTGCGTTACGGGAAAGACGCCTTGGAGAAGGTGATGAAGATGCCAGTTATAAAAAAGGCAAGCGAAAGAGGTGATTGTCCATATTTGATGTATCGCAGATTGCAGTTGAGCGGGAGATTAAAACCCGTTTGGAGTTAGTGGCGTTAGCAAGCCAGCAAAAAAGAGAGGGGAAAACTGACCTGGCGCAATTTATAGCAAACACAGGTTCCAAAGCGGTTGAGGAAGCTCTTAGTATAGGTTGGGAGATGGAAAATGCAGAGGCAGACTTGGCACACAGCAAGTTATCACGGTTAGAAATTGTGTACCGTGAGCTGGAGGGCCCATGGGTAGACAGTTATCAGGGAAAGTGGCTAGAGATGGCTGAATGAGTATTGCAGCGTAATGGCATTAGCCGAGACGAGTTTTTGGAGGTAGGGAGAAATCTTTTACAGCAGGGCCATGGCAAGTACAGAAACATATTTTTAAAATGACCGGCTAATTGTGGGAAAACATTTCGGCTAAACCTATTGAATACCGTGTTTAAAACTTTCACAAACCCCGCCACTACCACATTTGCATGGTTAGGTGAGGAAGAGCAACGAATTAGTTTTAACTGCTCCCATTGTTTTGCAAAACTGATCTTCCCGCAAATATAGTGAAGGGGTTGGACATTAAAATCACTTTCCGCGGGCAAGTAATGATAATGTTCGGATCGATATTCGCTCCATTACCGAACTGGTAGATCATTTTTAGGACGTAAATAACTTGAAACTTATCATTTAAGATTCTTTCTTTTGATCTTAACCAGGTTTCCTTTCTTCCAAAAGCGTTTTGGATGTAATTTCAAAGGAAATAGACCGACTACAACTTGTTTTATGCTCGTATATTCCACCGCCATTACTCGTTACCAGTCTCCCATAAGACATCAACACATGCATCACATCACGTTGCGTCAGTCGATCGATGGAAGAACAGTAGAGTGGCAATTTTACTTCACGAAGTACAAATTATACATTGTAACTATTTTAGAATGTAGAGTTTTTATTCTCCTTTTCATTTTCCTTTAATTTTGTTGTCGAAGATGTGGCATGTCTTGCCCGCTGAAATGGTGTTGATTTCACCAAACATCACGGCCATGGCACATAATGTCGCATCAGTAGATCGGAAAACAGTAAATTAAACTTGGTTTCCCTTCAAGATGCAGGCGGTATTCATTCTTATCATTTAAGAAGTCAGGGTTTTTATTCTTCTATTTTTTTGCCTTAATTTTGAGGTTTAAAGTTTGATTTGTTCACCATATAGCATTCGCGCACGAAATGACGTTAATTCTATCAACATTACGCCCATGAAGACAAATAACAAATCGTAAGCTTTCCCTGATTAAGGTTAATTCATAAATACAACCGACTTATAACTTTAAATATCTATTTCATTTAAAGTTAGGGATGAGCAAAAACTTCCGATTAGGTTACTTTGTGGTGCTGTAGTGTGTTTTAATGTTGCGAGATCACTCAAATAAATGGAAACAGAAACATAATATCTTCTGATGGAAACCGTTATGTACTAACCATAAAATGCCTCATTCTTTTACCTTAATAGTCTTTCTTCGTGAAAATGAACTTTTCCAGAGGGGTTGGGGGGTCTTTGTCATACTTGTGGAAATTCCGGACGAGTGGGGGGGGGCGGTATCAGTTCCCTGCAAAAATGGAAAATCCAGGGGGGTGGGGGGTCCTAAGTGAAATTCCCTCCATGGTGGGGGTCTGGATATTTTCTGGAACTACACATTGAAGCACATGCACACCATGTCTGTTGTGTTTACTTTAGAATTTATTATCTAAAAAGCGTTTACAAATGATAGAGTTTAGTTGATTGTCCCTCACGGAAGAAGTTTCCCCTTTCAGTTAGAACTATACTGTTAGTACAGCGAGGAAAAACATTCAATATTTTATCCGCCCTCCGTTTACAGCATTAAGCTTTAAACTACGCGATGACATAGAGGAAATAAACATATTAATAGTCCCTATTGGTATGGAATAACAGGTGTTAACAACTTGTGCCTCGAACTCACTATACGACTACCTCGTAATTTGGCGTTCAGTGGCCTGTTTCTCTAGTTTACGAGAAACCACAGGGAAAAGATTTTCATGGCAAAGAACGTCAGCACATCGCGCTGGAAACTTTAGTAAATTTGCATGGGTTCTCCTCAGGGCTGCTTTAGCCAACACGGAATTCTGACATGGACAATTGTCTTGTACAAATAAGTTCTCTCCCCTCTTATCTGCCTGCAGAAACATTCCTGGGAAATATTCATCGATAAAATTGGCAAATAAACGTCCAGTCATTTTCTTGTATGGATAACAAGCAATTATACCCTTATCGTAGGATACAGCTACTATAAGTCTCACATATATTCCACCAGTTCCTTCTTTCTTGCCTTTTGCCAAGCAGCCAGTTGTAAGACCTTCGCCACGCTTTCGCCATATTCGTGCCTTGGGAGCCAAAGCCTGATCCAATGGATTTCTCTTGTACACATAAGACACAATCCAGATAGAAAGCGATTTGTTTAGTCCAGACGTCAGCTCCAGTCTTTTCTCATGCGTCGGGCAAACTTTAGCCTTTTCTCCATATCTGTGACTGTCAGAACACCCTTTTTATGCGCTTGAAGATAATAGTACCCTTGCGAATTTAGAAAGCAGGACACTGTTCTAACTGATACATCTTTGACAGAAGTACCAGCTTCTTGCATTATTCTTTGACACGAAAAATTGCCCTCTTTCTCTCGAAGTCCTTGAATGGCTCGCACCAACTGCCTCCCATTTCTTGCGCTTAATTTCACAGGTGGTCCCCTTCGTATGTGTTCTTGACGGTCTTTGTTACGGAGAAGCCCTTCTTGGCCATCGCATCTTGGCTCTCTCTGTGAGATTGTTGATGGCCAAAATCGGAACTGAACTTGTGTATTCTGAATGTACTGGATGAATATGATGTTCTGTTCTTTCACCTGGATATCAGTCACATCGTGTGCCATCAGGCTGTAACATCTTGCTTCACTAGCGGCTTTGGTGATTTTCCCTTTTTTAGCCCTACCCATAGTTTTGAAGATTCCTCTCACCGACCAAACTGACTTGTGCCAGAAATGTTCTAGTTTCTCTAGTCCTATGCCTCACTTCAACGTCGATTGAAAGTTGCATTAAGCTATGCCAATTCAACGACATGAAAGCACTATGCAGAATTTTCTGTTGGTGAAGATTGCGCTCATTTAGTTTTTCTTGAAAAATGGATGTTCTCCTTAACATCTTAGCGGCAATGGAGTGTTGGTGTTTCTGTCCACTGCAGTTTCTTAAGAGCCGAGGTTTGGAAACAAACAGCGGGTTCCATTCCATAAGAGGCACTCTTGTCATGTTTGCTCTTTGCCTGGTGAAGTCAGCAAAGCAAACAGAACATGCCTTTCTCTTGTACAAAAAGCAACCACCACAGCCTCGTTGTTGAATAGTAAGATAGAGCGCGTTGAAAGATCTATGCAAACTTTTCAAACTCTTTCCTCCCTTCCTCTTTTTGATAGCAGCATATGCTTCCAGTGCAGTGGTAGAAACTGTGCATAATTTCTCCTTCAGGCGTTTCAGTGAGAGGTTCTGTTGCTGGTGAAATGTAGCTGCTGACTGGACTGACCAAAAAATGTTCCACCATGACAACTCTGTTAATTGAATGGTGTTTATATACAGTGTGGTTGCAGTAGCGAATAATAGCTGGGAGCGATCATTATTTTTTTTCCACAAAAAGTGGGTGATTATTCGAGGGAAGGCAATTATATGATGCTGGTGACTTTTTTCAATTTTTGCTCACTGGAAGTTGTGACCTAAATATTTTGTTGTATTGTTCCATTAAATCCGAAAATGATCACGTCAGATAAGCTGAACATGGACTTTTGAAGTGTTTGAAATTTTTTTCTTAGTTAATTTTCAATGTCAAGATCATCAGCATCAGAGCTTGAATTGTCACTGATCAGTTTTGCTGAATCAAACTCCACTTCCACTTGACAGGGAAGGTATAAAAGAAAGAGAAGATTGCGAGAGAAACGGGGGGCGATTGTTAAAGGGACGGGATTATTTGATCATAGCTGAAATTTGTTGATCCATCGCAGAACTGTTGTCATCTTTTATTAATTTGCCATCTTCAGCTAAATAATCAGCTTTGGTCGAGCTGTTATGATGGTATGACATCTTGAAACATACTTATCTGAAACAGTCATTTAACCCTTTCCCGTCCAAGGGTGACTGTGTGTAAAACTACCCCATCTGCCCAAGGCAAGAGAACCAAAATCAACACAAAGTAACACCACTTCAAATTTTAATCAATATCTCAGAAACTACTCATTTTTCAAGGAACAATAGAAAGAAACTTTGTTCCCAAGATAATAAACTTTCCATTGCTGCCAAAAATATTTTCATTCATGCAGGCATTCAGTAAATATTAAGAGCTCAAGTTAAGTGACAAGAAATCTCAAAAACCATCCATGTTGTTCATAAACTCATTGATGTCTCACAGAAAATTGTTACATTTCAGGACAAAGTACATCTAACTAGCCTATAAATCAAGTGAAAGAATTATAAGTGCTATTTTGGACAAATTCGGTGGTCAATTCTTCAGAAAATTATTACAAAAAATCAAAATTTTTACAAGCTTGAGTTTTCAAATTTCACGCCAATGTTCAAGCAAGATCCTCTGCAGTATGGTTCTTAAAACAGTCTAAACAGATGCGTTTACTGCAAAGTTCACAAGCCATTCTGCACCACGTCTCCTTGTTTCGCTTTAGACAGCGCTTACAGCGACCTTTGGAGAACTTTATGGGCCAATGCCCTCCTTCTAGGCGCCCAGAACTTGCGGACAATCGCCGTTCCGAAACATTTCCTATCAGTAACTGCACAAGATCTAAACGAAAAGCCAGTTGGGTTCTTGATCGGTGATGCAGGGACAGTTTCTCCAAAATATATGCATTTACTATCGCAACGTCCACAAGGAACCACATGAGACAACGCCACCACTTTTTCGATTTCCTTCCAGCCATGTAATAGCCCCGCATTGATCTTTCAAGTCAATACTGCCCGTGTTGTTGTTGTATGTTTTCACGACTGGGGCGCTGGGAACTTGAATCACCGTTCCATCGCGTTGCCGTCTACCGACAGTGTCGTTCCCCACAAGATCAGATTGGGAGCTCAAAAAATAAACTGGCTTCTTGTCCTTCCACACAGTGACGACAGTGTTCCTTTTGCGAAGGAACAACGACTCTCCTTGGCAAAGTCGCTTGACTCTTTGAGTTGAAGGGGCAATTTGCCGCGGTATGCCTTGTCGATTTCCGCGAACGGTTCCGCAGGTATAAATTCGATCTCGAAGCAAATCTTCTGCCAGAGTGAGGGAATTGAAAAAATTATCGACAAAAACATGGTGATTTTTGCCGACCAAGGGTCGAGTAAGATTGCGGACAACGCGGTGTCCGAGTCCTTGTTCGGGATTACCATCGCGTTGTTTTCCCGTATAGACCTCCAAATCGCAAACGAAGCCGTTCGACGAATCTGCTCATTCCCACACTTTAATTCCCCTCTTCACCGGTTTTAATGGCATATATTGTTTTAGGGACAGTCTTCCTTTAAAAGGAATCATTGCCTCGTTGATCGAAACATTTTTCGACGGCCTGTACTCACTTTTAATGGCCTCTACAACAGAATCAAGAATAGGTCGCACTTTGAATAATTTGTCATGGTTTGAGTGCCCATGTGGCAATTCTCTTCTCTTATCGTTTAGGTGAAGATATTGGGATATTTTCGCAAAACGATTCCTTGGCAAAATCTTTTGCACTTCTGGGACTCCGAGAAGCTGATTTTTCAACCAGTAGGAATACACTTCGGGCAGTTGTTTGATCCCAAACAGGATATTTAATGCAAAGAATGCCTTTACCTCTTCAGCATCGGTTTCATGCCAAGCAGGGTCCGGTTTTGTTTCCATTGCTTGCCGCGCATAGCGATTTGTTTCCTCTGCAATTCTATCAAAATTGCTGTCCTTAAACATTAGGTTGAAAAAGTTAAGTGTTGAATAACCTCGAACGTCCCTAACCGGGCCGGTATTTGCGACGAACAGATTCACAACAACTGGACGAGGATCCTCGTTCCACTCTTGTTCGTCTTCTTCGCCACTTCCCTGATCAGTAAGATCGAGATCTGACAAATCCTCTGTGTTAACTGACGAAACAGAAATGTCAGATTCTGACTCAGGATTATTTCGCTCAAATCCCGGTTCGACAGTGAAGCCAATGAACTCTTCTTCCTCGCTATCCGAATCGAAAAGTGCGCCATTTTAGAACAACACAGACAAATTTTCAACTCGCAATTTCTCAATAAATTCGTATGAACACCACCCCAAAAAAGTTTGCTTGAACTGGGCTTCTACTCTAACCCTATTGGCTTAAACACAATAGACCATCAGAAACAATAAAAATAAGCATTTTTTATTGGTTAGAATTGACCCTTGCATGGAGTGCCATATGGCACGCTTGGGAATTTGAGGGGTGGTACACGCAAGTGCCATATGGCATGGTCGGACGGGAAAGGGTTAAAAACGTTGTTCAATTTCACCATTTTTTAGTCTCTCTTGATTTATTGAATACAGTATTGTATGCAGGGGCTGAGGTACGACTTCAACCAATTGATTTCTGCTACCATCCAAAAAAATGTGGCTACCATGCTCATCCTCAAACAAAATAGCATGTGTAGAAATCGTCACCTTGATTCCTAGATATGCATCCCAGCGTTATTTGAACTAATTTTCTTTCATTTTGTGGTTGCTTGACTGATAATAGTGAAGGGCCGGGCCATCAGGTGTTTCCCCAATTTACAGGGAGTCAGGTTTTCTGTCAAGGTAGGCTTGCCAAGATCTCGCACGTTTCTTCATAACCACTGATATTGTGATGGCAGTATTCCTGTGTTGATGTAGGGATTTTGCAACTGTTGCTTTGCATTAATTGATTTGGCTATGGGACTTGCCAAGGTGTTTTGCTGAAAGGCTTACAAACAAATCTCCAGTGATGTGGTAAGGCCAGCAGTTAGAAGTTGAAAATGTCATGAACGTGGCTGTATTACACATGCATTTCTCCTGTTCTGCAGTGGCAGTTTTAACAGTGAAGGGCTGAGCTGAATGGGGGCGTTGACTTTAGACCCAGGATGTGGTGGTACCAGATGCTGTTGAACAGACCCATAACCACACTTGGACATCTTTCATTGTCACCTTTGTACCAAATGCTCTCTACAAAGGTATCAAGAAGTGCCTTAACATTTGTGTCAACAATTGTTTTTTTTTTAACTCTATTAACGAGACATCTGAATCTGTTTTTGCAAGTCGGCTAAGTCTACATTTTGATGGTTTGCAATGGGGTTCGCCAAGTGTGCTTTGTGTAGAGTTTGCCTATTTACATGCTTGTTTCTGCGAATTGGACCTTTAGCCTGTATTTTTGATAGCAAGTTAAGGCATCAACTGGGCATGGTTCAGCCTCTAGTTTGACCTCCTTGATTTTATTTTTGGAAACACTATCTGGTGATACAGTTGATTTCTCTGTGTAGTGTAAACCTCTCAGACAAGTCTTATTCTCTTAGTGTTCCTCTGATAGTCGTATACAGTGCACAGTCTTTTCTATTGTCTTCCACTGTCTTGTGCTTGTTAGGTTTTGGTGGGCTGTTGACCATTTGTCCCCTTCGGCAGCTGTCTTCCCTGTGCCCCTCTGTTGGGTTTTTTGAATTCAGGATTCATCTAGGGGAGGGCTGTTCTCCATATAATTTTCTTTACTAAGAAGAGAGTTGAATGTCTCTTGGTTGGTCGTCTTTGTCCACATTTGGACGGTAGTCTGGCGTTTTACTTGGGGTGATGTTACTAACCAAATCATGCCTTGCTTTATCATGTGGACTGGGATGAAGTAATAGTGCCATTGCATCATTGCACATGACTGCAGCAGTTGTATAAAGGCTACAGCAGGACTGGGGATTTCAACTGTGTACGAGTCTCTTCAGCTGCTGTTTGGAAAGAGGAGAAACATTGCTAGGTACAAAAGGGTCAATGTTTTGGCAACCTTTTTATAGTCTAGTCTGCAGTGTAGAATGGAGTTTGCCTTGTACCCACTTGTCCTTCGTTAAAGGTATGTACTGCTATTTCGTGAAAGGTCGTTGGCAAAAGGGCACGTGGCAATCCTGAAAGGTATCGTGGGTGGTTTTTAGCTCACTGTTTTTTAAAAGGATATTAAAAAGATTGGCACGAGTTGTGATGGACGTATGTTTGCAACTGCTAAAGTTAAGCAAACAAAAGCAGGTTGGACAGCTACAGTGTCAGGAACAGTGTATTGATCATATCCCATTTAACCTTTTGGGGATTGCCGCGTGCACATTTTTTTTTCCGACAACCTTTCTCGAAATAGCTGTATACCAATCCAGTATCTGCTTTTAGGATACTACTTTTTTAAGGACGAGCTTTTGTGTTTCGTCTATCAATTCGTTTTCAGAGAGAGCCATTATTGTTTCCCCTGTGGTTGACGTTGAGAACAAACCAGCTTCTCCTGTCTTTTTTTTATTCTATCTCCTCATTTGCTGGTTAATTACCATTTTTTCTTGCCATTCTGGACTTTTATTCAGCCTTCAGCGAGGTTCTTCTTTGTGCTACTGCCATACTAAGAAATACACTACCTAAGCGTAATATGGCTTTGAGTTCACTTTCAGTTCCATGTCTGCTGTGTGTTCCATATTTGCGACCACACACCGTTTGAAATGATCACTTTGCTGAGGAATTGGCAGTGGAAGGGGACATTGCTCCCTGGAAGTAGAGGTTTCACGCGCTCTCTCTTCCTTAATGCCTCTCCCTTCTTGGCAAAGTTCCTTGATCTTCTGGCAAAAGGATTCCAAAGGTATTCTTGCTAAGGATAAAATGTCTCCTAGTGTTTTGGGTTGCCTTGATACAGCCTTGACTCGGACCTAAGCAAACCAAAGTAAGATTGCTTTACACCATTTAGGAATTGTTCTATTATATAAGTGTGAAATCAACACTCCCAGTTGGGTGCTGAGCCAACAATATTTTTAACTCATCGAGACTTTCTCAGGACTTAGCTACCTTGAAGCTGTGGTTTCCAAACTTAAACGCTTTTTCTGCAGTTTTCTGCAAGCACAAACAAACCTGCAAAGAAATGTTTGGCATAGGTGAGATTGTCTCATGTGAAACGCCAACGTACTATGTTCTTTATGCATGACAACCTTGTCCAGGTGGGAAACCCTGAACTGTGACAATTTCCCGTTTTGGTGCTGAGGTAGATCATGTACAGGTAGTAGAGCTCAGTTAACTCGGAAAAAGATTGATTTCTTAGTTTGTCTTGGAAGTCAGCTTTACATATCTCACCACTCGCGATACCAACTTGCTAGTCCATGAAAGGCAGCATTGACTGCTCTATTGTTTCTTTGTCGGTTTTCTGTTATCCAAGTCTCTAATGCCGTCCATGCTGTTGACTGACGCTTCATACATGGGTTTGTGGAACGTCACAGGTCTGTTATATTTCTTCCCTTCTAACACGCCACACACACAGAACTCTCTGTTATAACTCCAGATTCTATACAAATATCCTTTAGCCCAGCGTCCTGAAATGTCTTGCTGATTATTCTAGGCAATATACTTATAGTGTAAAATGCCCCAACCTTAAAACGATTGTCCCAAACCTTTCACTGTGCTTACAATATCTTATTACCAGCGGTGATCACAGTCTGGCATCCCATCTGGATTTGGCCATCTTTTCCACACGTCCTCTACAACAACGCATAATTTCCTGATAGGTCCTTGATATAATGGCGAAGGGTTTCTTTACGCTGTAAATACGCAGGGTCATGCCACAACCCTCTTCTTTTCAATACTATATAAACAGATTTATAATTCCTTTTCCTTTTGTGGTTTGTCATATGTGGCGGGCCTTGAGCTTTCAGGTTTGACAGTAGATTTTCACTGAGAATTAGACAGGGTGAGTTTCTGCTGTGGGTGCAGAATTGGCTGTCTTGTGGTTGCTTTGTTTTACTTTGTGCGGCAACACTTCTACAGTGGAGGTCATTAAAATTGTTGGGTTCATCATCCACCATTTTCCGGTTTTGTCCTAGACATTTAATTTAAGTTATAAACCTGTTAAAACTATAATATGTAAAGATTTACGAAGCCTTTATGGCTTCAAAGTAACCTTGGAAATGGTTCTTATTCAAAGCCCATGAGATGGCACCAAAATAAATAATTTCACTGTAATGTTTTCGCAATGAAACAGGCAAAGGAGTAGCCTCATTTCTATCCTAACCGTTAACAGCAGGGAAAATGTCATTTTTTAAAGGAGGAAAACATTTTTAACTTGCTTACACTTGTTCGGTCATGTGTGACTGATCAG